CTTCCTTGCTTACTTCCTTGCTTACTTCCTTGCTTACTTCCTTGCTTGCTTCCTTGCTTCCTTCCTTGCTTGCTTGCTTACTTGCTTGCTTGCTTACTTGCTTGCTTGCTTCCTTCCTTCCTTGCTTCCTTCCTTACTTGCTTCCTTACTTGCTTACTTACTTACTTAGTTACTTACTTACTTACTTACTTATTACTTACTTGCTTGCTTACTTACTTACTTACTTACTCACTGACTTACTTACTTACTTACCTACTTACTTACTTACTTACTTACTTACATTATCTACACTCTGTTTCCGAAAATGTACGAAATGAGTCGAGGAAAACTCCAGATCCTCCTCAGTCTCCAACTAGACGACGGTTGGCCCGAGAGCGAGGCATGTAATTGTCCAGCGCTGTCGAAAAGATGTATAGAAAGAGAGAAAGAGAGGGTGGATGTGAAGGAGTGACAGTGTGGATGTGCAGGTGCGATATAGATCTGTAGTGGGTGCACAGATGTGATATAGATGTGCAGATGTGTGGGTGTGGTGAGGTGGAGAGGTAGATCTGCGGATGTGAGCGTGTGAAGATGTAAATGTAGAGAGGTGAGGGGGTGTAGACGTAGATGCGTCGATGCAACGGCAGCGCAACGTCAACCTTAGTTGCGCAAGTACAACGCTGAAGAGGTTCAATTAGAACTGAAGAACGTACATTTCACACTGAAGTTTCCACGAACAGGGCGACCTGAGAGTAAACGACGTCACGATCATGACAAGCGACTCGTGTATTCCAAGCGAACATCGTTTGTCATGAAGGTGGAGTACACACATACTAACGTCACGATGACTCTTTTGTCACAGCCACTTATGCGTAAGCAAAGTAGCTAAAATTTGTCAACCTCTCAAGAGAGCCGGTTGCGCGAGAGATGACTCAGCCGTGAGAGATGACTCATCCGCGTACTAAAGTTGTACTACAAAGTCGCCAGTTCTCAGCTTCCAGCTCCACAGCCTGCTCCGCGTACTAAAGTTGTACTTGCAAAGTCGCCAGTTCTCATCTTCCAGCTCCCCAGATACTCCGCGTACAAAAGTTGTAGTAGAAAGTCGCCAGTTCTCATCTTCCAGCTCCACAGCTTGCTCCGCGTACTAAAGTTGTACTACAAAGTCGCCAGTTCTCATCTTCCAGCTCCCCAGATACTCCGCGTACTAAAGTTGTACTAGAAAGTCGCCAGTTCTCATCTTCCAGCTCCACAGCTTGGTCCGCTACTAAAGTTGTACTACAAAGTCGCCAGTTCTCATCTTCCAGCTCCACAGATTGCTCCGCGTACTAAAGTTGTACTAGAAAGTCGCCAGTTCTCATCTTCCAGCTCCCCAGCTACTCCGCGTACTAAAGTTGTACTACAAAGTCACAGTCGCCAGTTCTCATCTCCCAGCTCCCCTGATACTCCGCGTACTAAAGTTGTACTACAAAGTCGCCAGTTCTCAGCTTCCACCTCCCCAGATACTCCGCGTACTAAAGTTGTACTACAAAGTCGCCAGTTCTCAGCTTCCAGCTCGCCTGATACTCTGCGTACTCAAGTTGTACTACAAAGTCGCCAGTTCTCAGCTTCCAGCTCGCCTGATACTCCGCGTGCTAAAGTTGTACTACAAAGTCGCCAGTTCTCATCTTCCAGCTCCCCAGATACTCCGCGTACTAAAGTTGTACTACAAAGTCGCCAGTTCTCATCTCCCAGCTCCCCAGATTGCTCCGCGTACTAAAGTTGTACTACAAAGTCGCCAGTTCTCAGCTTTCAGCTCCACAGCTTGCTCCGCGTACTAAAGTTGTACTACAAAGTCGCCAGTTCTCATCTTCCAGCTCTCCAGATACTCCGCGTACTCAAGTTGCGCTACAAAGTCGCCAGTTCTTTGCTGCCAGCTCCACAGATCGCTCCGCGTACTAAAGTTGTACTACAACGTCGACACGCACGATCTCCGCAGAGGGTTGCGCCGGACCGGGACATCGCACTCTCGCCTGCATTTCGTGCCCTCGACGCGCACGATCTCTGCAGAGATCTCACTCTCGCCTGCATTTCGCGCACTCGACGCGCACGATTTCCGCAGAGGGTTGCCCGCGACCGGGACAAATCGCACTCTCGCCTGCATTTCGTCCCCTCGACACGCGCGATCTCCGCAGAGGGTTGCCCGCGACCGGGACAAATCGCACTCTCGCCTGCGTTTCGGGCACTCGACGCGCACGATCTCCGCAGAGGGTTGCCCGCGACCGCTCGCCTGCATTTCGCGCCCTCGACGCGCGCGATCTCCGCAGAGGGTTGCCCGCGACAAAACCAAATCGCACTCTCGCCTGCATTTCGCGCGCTCGACACGCATGATCTCCGCAAAGGGTTGCGTTTCGTGGCGGTCCGGCGGCACTGCCCCCGGCCTTAAGAGAGAAAGTTAAGAAGAGCGAGAGGTGAAGATGTGAGATGTAGATGTGCAGATGTGAAGATGAGCAGAGATGTAGATGTGTGAAGATGAAGAATGAGCTGAGATGTAGATGCGAGGATGTGAAGATGAGCAGAGATGTA